AAAAAAAAAAAAGAATACACCTACAGGTTAAAATAAACATGGCGGGCAACCAAGAGAAAATATACTATATGAAAATAACTATACACATAGTTAAACAAACAGAAAGAAAATGAAATTGCCAGTACACACAGGCTTCATTTATATTTATCTTATGTTCTCATTGTCTTAAAATATACCGAGTTGAATACTTTCATACAATAAGGGTCCCAAGTGACTTACAGATAGGAAACTGACATTATATTTTCTATTTTTAATATTTTTAATTTAACACAAAAATATGATGGAGTATTATGTTATGAATATTTTGTAAATAATGGTACATTTAGCTACAATTTCCCAGTTTCCCCATGCATGTATGTCTGGCAAATTTGGGGACGCCCTCTATAGGTGAAAACTACAAACAAAATTGACTGACGTCAGCTGACCTACTTCAAAAACGTAAAAAGAGATGGGGAGCAGTGGCTCATCCCTGTAATCCTAATTCTCTGGGGGGCAGAACTAGGTGGATGGTAGGAGCTCACTGACTTTTTCAAAGAAGAAATATAAAAATACGGCCAACAAGCATTTGAAAAGATTCTTAAAGTGTTAATTATTAGAGAAATGCAAAGAAAATCGTAATGAAGTGTTACATCATACTCACAAAGAACACTAAAAATAGTTTGTCAAGGATATAGAAAAAGTGGACGCTTTGGGACCCGGGGACAGTGGCTCACACCTGTAATCCCAGCACATTGGGAGGCTGACATGAGTGGAAGCCGGAGCTCATGATTTGGAGACCAGCCTGAGCTAGAGTGAGACCTTGCCTCTAAAAAATAGCAGGGGGAGGCTTGATGCCCATAACACAGTGGTTATGGTGCCAGCCACATACACCAAGGCTTGTGGGTTCAAGCCTGGCCCCGCTGGGACAGCTAAATAACAATAACAACTGCAACAAGAAAATAGCCAGGTGTTGCGGCAGGCGCCTCTAGTCCCAGCTACTTAGGAGGCTGAGGGAAGAGAATCACGAAAGCCCAAGAATTTGAGGTTGCTGTGAGCTGTGACACCACGACACTCTATGGAGGGTGACATAGTGAGACTCTGTCTCAAAAAAGAAAATAATACCCGGGCGGGCATGGTGGCAGGAGTCTGTTCTCCCAACTACATGGGAGGCTAGAGACTTTGTCTCAAAAAAAAAAAAGAAAAGAAAATGAACACTTTCCAAAATGTTGGTGAGGAAAAATGATGCAGAAACTATTAAAATGTACAAAGGTTTCTCAGAAGACTAAAATTAAAAGTTATTATTTGATCCAGCTATCCATGCCTGGGTAGATATCCAAAATATGCACGATAGAATGGGAATGATACATGTTCTCACTCACATTCACTGCACCATTATTCATAAAAGCCTAGATGTGGCCAGATGCAGTGGCTCACGCCTGCAATCCTAGCACTTTGGGAGACTGTGGTGGGAGGATAGCTGGAGCACAGGAGTTCAAGATCAGCCTGAGCAAGAGCAAGACCCTATCTCTACTTAAATTGGAAAAAGCAGAGTGTTGTGGGCCTGTGGTCCCAGCTACTTGGGAGGCTGAGACAGGATGATTGATTGAGTCCAGGAGTTTGAGTTTCCTATAAGCTATTATGTCACCGCATTCTTCCCAGGGTACTCTATCCAGGGAGACAGTTCTTTTATTCTCACTATAACCTAGAAGGAATATCACTGAAAAGTAAAGTCTTTCTGGAAATTAAGGACTAATGAAACAGGCATAGTGGCTCACATCTGTAAACCTAGCACCCTGGGAAGTCAAGCTGGGAGGATTGCTTAAACTCACAAGTTCAAGACCAGCGTGAGGAAGTCTGAGACCCCCCTCTCTACTAAAAAATAGAAAATCCATTAGCCAGGCATTGTAGAGAAACCTGTAGTCCCAGGTATTTGGGAGGCTGAGAGAGAAAAATCACTTGAACCCAGGAGCTTTAGTTTGCTCTGTGCAAGACTGATGCCATGTCACTCTAGTGTGAGGCAAGAGAGTGAGACTCTGTGTCAATAGGGAAATACAAATTAAAAAAAAAAAACAAAAACAGGACAGCGCCTGTGGCTCAAACGAGTAGGACGCCGGCCCCATCTGCTGGAAGTAGCGGGTTCAAATCCAGCCCCGGCCAAAATTGCAAAAAAACAAACAGTACAGAAGTGCCCTTATATGAGAACAAGACAAAGAAATCCAGGATTCTCAGAAATCTTTCCCAATTAATCTGAGCTTCCCTCATCATATTATATTGTGTGGCTTCCTCCTGGACTTTTGGACCTCTGACCACTGTTACCTGTTTCATTCACTCCAACCTACCTGGCGGTTTGACTACTGTCTGTTGTGCTTTCACCTTCCAGGGTGCTTTGCTTTGCTCCAGACAGGTGATGACGTCGGGCTTAGAGAGAGTGAGACCTATTGTATTAGAAAAAAGGAACAGGACTCTGATTGGAATTCTTCAAGTGGTCATCTATTACCTTGCTAAAGTAGAGAAAAGAACACCTTAGAACATCCTGAAAGAATAATCCCCAAATGCACGTTCCTTACAAAAACTTTAGAATCTTTAAAAAGTATTTAAAGTTGGAAGATTTTTAACTCCACCACCCAGTAGTACTGAAATAAAATTTGGTGCTAGAAATCAGGCTTAAAGGTGTGGGTAACAATCTATTGCCACTAAATTTCTGAAATTTCCATTAATCTAGTGAAGGATATAAACCAGCCAAAAAAGGTTAAGATTAATGCCAAAATAAAGCATCTCTGGCATTTTCTTTCCTATATCATGATATCCCTAAATTGTCCTTAGAAACAAGAAATTGATCCTCATGCAGTCAAAGAAGAAACTGAATAAAAACCTTTTACAAAGAGAGAATATGAATTGCTTAGTGTAGACCAGGAACTGTGTATTTCAGTTCTCCTCACCTAGGAAGACCAGGTGTCTGTAGTTCTCCAACATGACATCCCGATACAAAGTCTGCTGAGCAGGGTCCAGGCAGGCCCACTCATCCATAGAGAATTCTACAGACACATCCTGGAATGTCAACAGTTCCTGAAAAACAAACATATTTACCAAGAAACCAGAGGGAGACTGAATGTCACTTTTAGTTACATGCGTGAAGAGAACTTACTCTGACTTATAGGAAAGACTGGAATTACCTAATAAGCTAAGTATGGAAGAGACATATTCCCTCATGTGTTGTCTAACATAGAGGAAAGGGGACGGCACAACATGAACAGAACCAGTGTACACACTACACTTTTTTGGTTGACACAATAGAAATGAAAGGCTACCAATACTGGCATGTGTATTTTTGTCCCTTATTTACATCATGTCATATAAGTTGTGTACGTTTTTTATATGAATGATGAGGCTCGGCACCTGTAGTTCAGTGGCCAGGGCACTGGCCATATACACTGGGGCTGGAGGGTTAGAACCTGGTCCAGGCTGCCAAACAACAATAACAAATATAAAAAAAAAAAAAAAAAAGCTGGGACATGGAGCCCACTGCGCAGTGGTTATGGTGCCAGCCACGTACACCAAGGCTAGTGGGTTCTAACCAGGCCGGGGCCAGCTAAACAACAATGACATGTACAACAAAATATAGCATTCTGGGCATTCTGTAGAGTACCTGTAGTCCCAGCTAGTTGGGAGGCTGAGGGAAGAGAATCACTTGAGCCCAAGAGGTTGATGTTGCTGTGAGCTGTGATGCCACTGCACTCCATTGAGGGCCACATAGTGAGATTCTGTCTCAAAAAAAAAATGTCATAATGAGTGACATGGTACCTCTAAAGATTTAATGTGTACACTAAAGAACTGGAGATCTTGAAAAAATGTAGAAATTTATTCAGAAGATATGGGGTGAAGATTCAATTTCTAAATATTTTTTTTAATCAAGAGTCTTAAGCTGTTGCCCTGGATAGAGTGGTGTCACAGCTCACAGCAACCTCGAACTCTTGGGCTTAAGTGATTCTCTTGCCTCAACCTCCCAAGTAGCAAGGATTACAGGTACCTGCCACAGGGCCCAGCTATGTTTTGGTTGGAGTTGTCATCATTATTTAGCAGGCCCAGGCTGGATGCCAACCCGCCAGCTCTGGTGTATGTGGCTGGCCCATTAGCTGCTTGAGTACAGGCGCTAAGGCTCAATTTCTAAATTTCCAACAAGTTCAATAGGAATGCAATCGCTTCTGTCTCATGATAATATTTTGTCAAACATGCAGTGAACTGTAGACACTGGATTTATCCCAGTTGATTTCTGAACCAATAAACAAAGATGACACCCATTCACAAGTGCAAACAATATTACTGCTGTTTTCCAAATTTTAACATGATAATGCGGGAAAAAAAGTGGGCACAGCCCTGGACCTGGGACACATTTACCCAAGAGGCAATCATTTCCTTGTCTTCCTCCACCTTGGCTTGATTTCCTTCTCAGGGGAGGTTATCTGGACATGTTACTCCTGCGTCTTGATCACATGCCTTTAAAGGCATCACCCTAACCCCTTCACTACTACCACCTACCATATCCACAGACAGAGGGACCTCAAAGTACAGAAAAAATTTCACCCTTTCCTGTTCTTTATCACAGGAGTCAGGGAGAAGGAGATTCCACACAAAGACCAAAGTATACATTTCTTATTTCTTGGCCTCCAGTGCCCTCCCCTGCCAGCAATGTCTGCTATGGAAATGAAACTATGGGCCCTGTGACCTCTTTCTGGAAAAAAATAAATAAACTCCACTTTCTTAAATGTACCCGGAAACCCTCATGCTTGATACTTGACTAACCTTAGCATCACATGGGGCACTTAATGAAAACCACAGGACGACACAGCCCAGACTCAGAATCTGTGGGAAGGCAGAGTCACAGATGAGGTGCTTCTTCAAACTGGCCATGAAATCCTACTGGCCTGGGCTGAGGACCACTTAGCTAAGCATCACCTCTCAAGGTTTAATATGCATACGAGTTATTTCCCATTATTCCCACTCTAAGTATCTGATTCTGCAACAGCAGCACCTACTCTACTTCCAAGCAAATAATCACTTTATATGAGCACTGCCTGTTTATGTCGTTGCTTAAGAATTGTAGGAAGAAGGCTGGGCTTATAGCTCATGCCTATAGTCCCAGCAATCTCAGAGGCTGAAGCGGGTAAATCCCCTGAGCTCAGGAGTTCCAGACCTGCCTGAGCAAGAGTGAGACCCTGTCTCTAAAAATAACCTGGTGTTTTGGTGGGCACCTCTATTCTCAGCTACTCATGAGACTGAGGCAAAAAGTTGGCCTGAGCCCAGGAGTTTGAAGTTGCTGTGAGCTGTGATGCCACACCATGTTACGGAGGGTGACAAAGTGAGACTCCGTCTCAAAAAAAGAAACAAAAATTGCACAAATTGTTTTGAGCCATTAACTATAGAACAATGATTGAAGAATACCCATAGGAATTTTTTTTTTCAGACTGAGTCTCACAATGTCACCCTCGGTAGAGTGCGGTGGCATTACAGCTCACAGAAACCTCCAACTCTTGAGCTAAAGCAATTCTCTTGCCTCAGCCTCCCAAGTACCTGGGACTACAAGCACCCGCAACAATGCCCGGCCATTTTTTGCTGCAGTTGTCCTTGTTGTTTAGCTGGCCTGGGCCGAGTTTGAACCACCAGCCTCAGTGCATGTAGCTGGTGCCATAACCACTGTGCTACGGGTGTTGAGGCCCCCATAGGAATTAAGGAAGGAAAATAGTGAGCACTTAACCCCCATTTCAGTTTTGGTCTAGCTCATGTCAGCTAGACTGCCAGATGGCAAGAAACCGTTTCAATGAGACATCTAGACCTACACATAGAAAGCTCCCACACATAGTTTCCCAAGCTCCTGATCCCTTTTACCACCTTCTGGTCAGCTCAGGAACCTCAGGTGGTCTTTCCCAGGTTAGTCAGCCATCTCCCCATGTTGCTCTAGAATAAACGACTTTTTCTTCCACAACTCTTGCATTGTGACTATGACTTTTCATTTGGGTTTAATTAAAATTTCAAAGGTTTTGAGTGAGTCTATGAAGCGGCTTTTTTAACAACTCCCCCTATTGTTCCTGTCACTCCTTTTAGATTATAGCAGCGCTCAGGTGGAGAAAGCAAACACAGCAGAGTGCCCTCTGCTGGACACATTGTAAGAACACAACTATCTCTGGTTCAAAGACCACCAATCACAATCTTGACGCTCTGCAGTTTGCCGGCACTTTAAATTCTCCAAAGGTGAGAGAAGGCAGCTGTGTCTAAGGACCTGGACTCAGAATTTGGACCTGCACATTTGGCTTTGGCACATACAGGGATGCAGCTAGTGCCCAGTGTACATGCATGAGAATTACAGAAACAGAAAAATAGGAATGAGGACAGTCTCAGGTATACTCAGTGCACATTTATCACCCAGGTTGAGTTTCTGGCCTCATGGTCTCTGGATCAGTTTCAGGTCTCCAAATATGAGGATAACTGAAAGACAGAGACAGGTGATGGCTGATTGCTGCCCTATAAAAGTAGCTTCTAAAACTGTACAGGTTATCCCCCAAGTCACCATACATAGGAAAAATTGTAGCTAAATATACCTTTACAAAATGGTCATTACACACTTTTACAAAGAAATGGTAATACATAGAGAATAGCTTTTAAATGTTTTATAAAACTTTGTTGTAAATGGGGTGGCACCTGTGGCTCAGTGAGTAGGGCACCAGACCCATATACCACGGGTGGTGGGTTCAAACCCAGCCCCGGCCAAACTGTAACAAAAAATAGCTGGGCATTGTGGCAGGCACCTGTAGTCCCAGCTACGTGGGAAGGTGAGGCAAGAGAATCACCTAAGCCCAAGAGCTGGAGGTTGCTGTGAGCTGTGACGGCACACACTACCAAGGGCGACAAAGTGAAACTCTGTCTCTTAAAAAAAAAATTGTTATACATAAAAGCACATAGAGCTACAATTTCCCTTTGCCCTGTGTATGGTAACTGTAGAGGCAACTTTTGGGACACCATGTACTATAACTGCTCAAGAAGGAGACTGGAAATTGGCAGAGACCATTGCAGCTTTATTATTTGGAACAAAATGCACTTTGCTCTACAATTATGCGTTGTGACTGGAAGGTTCAGATGGAAAGCACCTTCTAGTGTTACACTCAGTGGGCATCATCTCACTTTGTCACCCTCACTATGGTGTTGTGGCCTCATAGCTCACAGCAACCTCAAATTCTTGGGCTCAAAGCGATTCTCTTCCCTCAGCCTCCCAAGTAGCTGGGACTATAGGGACCTGCCACAACGTCTGACTATTTTTAAAGATGGGCCCTCACTCTGGCTGAGGTTGGGTTTGAATCCGTGAGGTCAGGCAATCCACCTGGCTCAGCGCCCCAAAGTATAGGATTATAGGCGTGAGCCACTGCGCCTGGCTCAGCATCATCTATGTTTATGTCACATCTGATAATTCTGGATGGTGTGTAAAAATACTGTATAATTAAAAATAGAGTCATTACAAACTCTAGAAGAACCACCATAATTGTAGACAGAAAAATAACTGTCATATTAAACCAGAATGTGATGTTCATCTCAAACAACCTAAGAGATTGCAATGATGAATTAAATCACCATAATTAGTCCTCAATAAAAAGACCTGACAGCACCATTGGTCATACAGGGTATCCATAAAGTCTGTGTGCAACTTAAAATAGTAAAACCCAGGGTGACAGAGTAAGACACTGTCTCACAAAGAAAAAAAAAATTAAATAAAAAAAGAAAGAAAAAAAACAGAAAGGAAACATGTATAGCACCAGGGGATAATGGTGAGAGACTGGGGTGTGTAATTCAACCTGGGAAGGAGCTCTGATTACAAAAATTTCCCAGGCTCTCTGTTCTCAAGAGCAGCTCACTGCAAAAAACAAAACTTCCCATCGTGACTTAGGTGATACTCCCCATCTTACCTGTGACCAGGCCAGGCACAGGCTCTGATAATTCCCATTTCTTGCCCGTAATCAATTACCTGAACAGTTCTTTCTTCATCAGTCAGAACAAAATACCTCTTCAAATTTTGCTGAAGT